GAAATGACTGATTTTTGAAAATGCTCGACCTGCTCAAAGCCTCACATCAGGCATGAGTCAACTGGCATACTTCAACAGCATCACAAAAACACCGCACAGCACACACACACACACACACACGCACACGCAAGGTCTACCTAAAGGCTCATCGCCACACACATCACATCACAGCACACGCGCAGCCTCGCAAGTTTTGTTTGGTTCTGCTTTTGCTGGGTGCGGCTTTTCTGCCCGCCTGGCAACTTGCTTGGCGCGGCTTTTCTGCCCGCCTGGCAACTGCAGTAGCCTAGGCGCGGCTTTTCTGCCCGCCTGGCGTCGCCATGGCTGCGCCGAATCCGGCATTTGTGTTGCTGGCAGACCTTCTGCGAGACTCGGTGTCCGACCTGCCTTCTTGGATTGGCTTTTACGCCGGTGGCAAAACGGACGTTTGCCACCCGAGATGGGACTCGGATTTTGACGGGGCCAAGGCCGATCGGGATGGCTTGACCGAGGCTTTAGCTTCCACTACAGTGGTGGTGCCGGCGTTGCTGCTCTGGCTTGATGACTTCATGACTGCACACAGGGTGCACAGCTGCTGGAAGCACACGCTGGACGGTGGCTGTCTCTGGCATCAGTTCGAGCAGGGTGGCGACAATTATTTGTTCAACGCCATGTGGGCCTTGACTTTGACTGTGGTGTGCTGGCTGCGCCACGTGTGCAAAGGCAAGAAAGTGCCACAGGTCCGGCTGATTTGTCTTTGCAATGCTGGCAAGCATCGCAGCGTGTTCTCTTCGCGGATGCTATACTTTGTGCTCCAGCTTCTTTACGACCTGCTGGGGATCCAGCAGCGAAGGTTTACTTGGCAGTGGGCCGCGGAGCGGCGAGTGCAAGCGGAGCTGAGCGAAGCAGCTCAATGCCGCGACAACAAGGCGGCGAAAGTCTGCTTCCGACAGGCGGACCTGGTGGTGTCGCGCACCCGACGGATGTTCCTTGGCGGCCGAGTTCCGGCGCACTTGCACAGCGTGCAGCTGTTGGACAAGGACCTTCGAGAGACGTCCACGACTGTATCCGCTGGCTACAGCGATATTTGCCTCGACACGCGCAAGTTCATCCAAGCGGCTGCCGCCGAGCGCGGCACGCCCCTCAGAAAAGCTTGGCTGGCAGACTGGCTGGAAGGCGCCGGCCTCGCTGCCCTTACCGCTCAAGGCCGCGCTGTACTTCAGCAAGCTTCCCGCGTGCGTATGGCCCGCCACTGGTGCCCTATCATGCGCGCTCTGCAGCAAGCTTTCCCGGAGCGCTGTGGCTTGTGCGCCTGTCCCTTTCAGCTCAGCACGCCTTGGGACACGCTTGCAGCGGAAATACACGAGCACTTCATTTCTACTGGGGATGGTGCGTCTTTTCTGACCACCTCCCCGGAAGCAGCGTCTGTTGCGGCTTTTTTGAACGCTTCCCCAAGAGCAGCCTCTGGCAGTGGTGCGGCTTTTCTGCCCGCCGCTGCCGGGGAAGGTGCGTCTTTTCTGACCGCCTCCCCGAAAGCAGCCACGACTCGCAGACCTGCGTGGGCTGACGTGCAGGACGACTCTGCCCACGCCGCGGCTGCGCCCAGCGCCAAGAAAAAGAAAAGGGTGTCCTTCGCGCCAGAGGTGGCCCAATCTGCCGCGGCCGACGTGGAGGACACCGCGCTGTGCTTGGTGCTGCCTTGCGATGCCCCACTAGGCGTGCTCTTTCAGCCAGGTGCGCAGACGCTGTCTCGGCGCGGGGTGGACTGCTTGCTTGACGTTACTTCGGACGCGACCTTGCTTTCGTTCCGGGTCATACAGAGCGCGGAGGACGCTCAAGGCTTGATTGCCTACGCTAGCGAGTTGCTGGCATCTAGTCGGGAGTTGCAGCAAGAGCTTGCAGCGCTGCAGCGTATGCTTGTTGCCGCGGAGGTTTTTCCGGAGTTGCCTCTTGGTGGTATGCCGGCCATGGCGCTCTTCCAGTGTCTGGTCTTCCTTTACATGTGGTCGGTGCTCACCTTGAATTATTCATTTTTGCTGTCCAGCACCTTCTTAAGACTGGTGGCTTTGCCGCTGCAGGAGGCGAAAATTTTGATATCTTGGCCGTGGTGCACAAGTACTGCTACGTCACGTGGCTCCACCGGACGGCGCGTCCGAGCTGCTGGCAAGGCAACGCTCTCCGCTTATTGCTGCCAGACACTGCCGACTGGGAGGCTTGGTGGGCGGCGCAGCAGGACGTGGCGCACGAAATTGATGAGACTGCCTTCTCGGAAGAGTACGCGCTTATGTGCAGGGATCCTTTGATCCCCGAGGGCTACCGGGCAGACTTGAAGCAGGTGCGGCGCCATGTGGCTGCTTCCGATCTCGGCTTGCTGCCGGAGCTTCCGCCGCGGCAGTCCTTTATGGAGCACGATGTTTACTTGGAGGCAAGCGGCGCTTTGCCCTTGCCGAGAGCCTTGCCGGCCATTCGATGCTCGGCCGGGGCGATGGAGGTGAACTGGGGCGACAACACTGGTGAGCCCCTAAACACTTCGCGGGACAATGTGATCTCCGAGACGGATGTCTGCTTGCAAGTCCCGTTGCCGGTGCCTGCAGATATGACTTTGGGGCACGTCCTGCTTTCAAGGGACTGGCGAGCCTCTTTCGAGCAATCCAATCTCGGCATGCCTTGGTGGATGTCAGACGCAGGCGGCTTTTCTGCCCCTGCTGCTGGCCACGCAGGCGGCTTTTCTGCCCCTGTCTCAGCCCTTGGAGCGCAAATCCACTTGCAAGCTTTGGGAGCTGAAATCATGGCCACGCTGAGGCCCGACAGTGTGATGCATCCACACTTGCGAGCACACGTGGAGCTCATGCTGGGCATGTGTGCTTCCGTGCACTTGGCGCGCCAGGAGGCTTGGGATGTTGCCTTGTATGACTTTCTTTTAGGCTGCGGCATCAGAGCGCAGCGCACGCGTCCTGGCGATGCCGATGCCGGCTGGGTGGCGCATAACTACCGCAAGAGGCACCACGCTGCCCGCTCTGTGGTGCGACCCGTTTGCTGCACCATGTGGGGTGAAAAGTATCGCCCCATTGGATACTTAAACGATGCGGGGGACATCGAGCACTACTTGGTGCACGACACATGCCCTCTTGGAAGATGTCGCAGGCACAAGCAGCTTATGGGCTTTGGCACCGTGTGCCCACACTGGCATGGCTTCAACAAAAAACACGGCATCATGGCCACTCTGAACGCGCAGCGATACTTGAGGTACACGGAGATCGGAAGCAAAGGGGCTGACCCGCGCGCGCGAGACCAGCGGGCCAGCCAGTATCTTCGCACGCTTTTGCAGGAGTTAGGCTTTGTGGCCCGTGCGGACGAAAGAGCAGCAGACGGCGATGACCGCGTGATGCTCATAGGCCTTCCCCGCTGGCTCCCTGAGTTTCACAGCAACGAAGGCCAAGACATACCCGGCTTGGTTGCCTTTACTCCGCTGCACGCCAAAAAACACTTCGAGCAAAATGACATTGACGAGTGTCTCCAGCTTCGCACCGCGGCGCAAGAGGTGCACGATGACCTTGAACGCTTGACAAGACAGCGCTGAATGCGCTTGAGATGCGCCAGGGTGCGTCTTTTCTGACCGCCCGGCGCTTGCCAGGCCGTGTGCCTTGCAGTGTGCCTTGCCTGGCAGCATGCGTCTTTTCTGACCGTGCTGCCTTGAACAGAGACAAAGTGAATCTGCCCGCATAAAAAGGAAAAAGAGCCGGTGGGACAACGGGCGGGCGGATGGTAACAAAGGGTAAATGATGGAGGCTTAAGACTTGTCAAACATTTGCGGTCAGGCAGGCTCCCTGTCAGCCAGGTTTTCTTTCCAGTTTTTGTCCGAGCGGTGGAATAGTTGCCTGTGAAGACATGACCTGTTGATTTCTTTTGTGACCGTTTGGCCATGTTCGTCACAAACAAAACATGATTGGTTTTCAATTTGGCCCCAAACATGTTTGCCCTGGTTGTTCAAGCCTCCTATAGTGGTTCTTTTTTAGAAACTTCCGCCACCGCCTTGCGCGGTACTACTTGTACTGTTGGCGGACGTACCCAGCACCGCTTACAAAAGCCATTTCAGGGCCTTTGGTTGCAAAACGTGGCGGAATGACCAAAATGGGGCTGGGAGAGGTGGTGTAGCAATGCGTCCGTCAACCGTGTTGAAAAAGCGACTGCCAGTCTCGCCCCACATCGAGTCAAGTAGTCTGACCATGTCAGACCTATGACCTGCAAACAAACAACCATGATTGTGGAAAGCTGGTCTCTGGATGTCAACCCAGGCTTGTTACAGAACCTTCCAGCCTTCCATGTGAGAATGAAAGTCTCTGCTTGTTGGCAATAGGCCATCTATGCCACCACAGCGCATGCGAGGCCCAGCCGCAAGCCCCCAAACCCTACCAAACCACCCAACCTCCCAAACCCAACCTTCCCGTAATGTAATGTTGACCCCAGATTCGTCAACCTGGAAAAACATGAGGGGGGTGTCTCCCCAAAGAAGTGTTTCGGATTCCCTCTGAAAAAGGCTGCTCCCCAAGCACAATCCCGGGGATGACAATTCCTGGGTGTTCTGGGCAAATGACTATGAACACGCCCTCGGGCGATCTCATTTTATCCAATTAGTCAGCTCGCGTGTTCACTTGCCCGAGCGTGTCTGGGAAGCCTTCCGTCCGAACCGGTTGGTTGTGTGCCTGATGAAGGAACTGAGTCACAATCAAAGCCTGGTACTTAAGGGGTCTTTCCAAAACCAGGTAAAGAATCAAAGAACCGATTTCTGGCTGGGACTGTCCCTTACGAACCTTCACCAGGGATTGGATTGCGGCTCAACAGGGTGTGTGTGTGTGTGTTTTCTGAGCGTACCTTTTTTCACCTTGATCCACAGTCAGCAAAACCCAGAGGAAACCAACCAAGAGAAAGAAAACAAAAAAAAAAAACACGCAACCAGAGGTCCCATTGATCTTTACCGCCTTCCGTTCTCATAAAACGCTCCCCGGGAGACAGCGAGGCGCTGGTGCCACCTGCGCCGCCAGGAACCGCTTCCGCAGCAGCCCCGCCTCCGCCTGCACCAGGCGCAGGGGCACCGAGTCCAGGGCCTCGGGGGCAAAACGTCTGGTCCGACGAAAAACCGTAAGGATTCAGTGGCTGTCAAAACCGTTTTGGGATCCCATTTTGGTTGGTAGGTGAATTCACCAAAAAGGTGAATTCACCACCCATTTAGTCGATTTTAGTGGCATTCTTTACAGGGATCCTTCTTTTCAGGAAACCATCAAAAATCCAGGGGAAACAGCCGGTGTTTGAAAAGAACGATGGTTGAAAAGAAGGGGAATCAACCCCTAGAACAATCAACCCCTAGAACAACCAGCCTTCACCCAAGCTTCACCATCTGTTCCAAGAGGCACCTAGGAGCTTCACCACAATTGACCCAATGAAGTTCATGAGGCTTGAAGCCTAAGGTTTGGGGGACCGAGCCCCAATGGCTCGAAAATTCCAGGCCTCTGCATTAACTTTGAATTCCAAACATCTAACAAAGTGGATCCCCAAGTAAAGAACCCACATCATAGTGAGCTCGTGCCAGCCCCGTCTACATACACCCGGAGCAAGTGGTTGTGTTGCTATCCATCCCGTTGAGCAGTGCCTAAAAGTCATAGACTTTCGGCTCTACCCTGATCATTAACATATTATATAAAGGCCTTACCAGAACTCACGCTATCATCTGTCTTTTGAGCGCGGCTGTGAAGGTGTGTGATCTCGTGCAATATGTAGATACTAGTGATCTGCACTAATCTTACTGCAATCTTATACTCTCGTTTTGTTTCATACGGAACAATATACCGATGTTTACAATTCATTTCCTCTTGCTAGAAGCCCTCGTTTTGGGTTAGCAAGGGAGACAACCCTTTGGGGAGCAACCCTCAATGGGTCTCAACAAAACAACGTATCCGATTCAGGAAACAAGGGACAAATCAGCGCCGAACAAATTCGTGTTTGGGGCATTTTAAAAGCACTGTTGTCGTCTCATAGGAGTAAACCTTGAGTCATTGGTTGGCAGCCAATATTTCCAGTTGCAACCAGCGACCCAGTCGGCAAAGAATGGTCTGTATCTCGCTGTGAGTGAATCCACTAAGCAAAAACCGAAAAAGGGTGCCACATCCGAACTCGTTCTTCTCTCTGGTTTTGGAAGAGTTTCTACCCAGTTTGTGTCATCTTCTGAAAGGCCAAAGGCGCACCCTGATGCACCTTGGGCAAGTGACCCCGAAAAAGGTAACCCAAAGCAAAAGGAGTTGGTGATCAGGGAACCAAGGAGTATGAAGGGGTATGTACTCTCAGAACTACAACTCTAGTTCAACGACCTGGAAAACGGAATCCCCGAGTAATTAGGGAACCATCATGCCTGGTACGTCTGGATCAGTGTGGGTGCCACAATTAGGTTAGACTCGTTCGAACTATGACACTCGCGTCACCCCTTTTAGCCTGCAGCAGAAACCTTCCAAGAAAACTATTGCCAACCCTTATTGGCAGCAGGTGCTTCATGGGAATTTATGAGCGATTGGGTTGGCACTTGGAACCCTTCTGCAACGCGACTTGGTGCGCCTGCACCTTCAGGGCAGAACACTCAGTGAGAGTCAATTGGCACTGAGGGGATCAAAGCAAAGGAGCCTATCTCCACCAACTTTCAATGACAACATTCTACCGTCTTACAAATTAAGCCCCCCCCAACCAAAAACAAACAAAAAAACAAGAAAGAAAGAACAAAAGAAAGAAATAAAAAAATACACGTTTCCCCTTGCATCCTAACCAAGAGGGGTCGCGAGAAAAAAAACAAACTGTGCCATGGTCAAAACTCTTTCTGTGGGTCATGATCATGCTTCCCTTACTTGGAATCCTTCTATTGTGTGTCCAAAGCAACCTTGACCACCTCTACCGACCCCAAGTAAGCACGTCGCTTGTCCATGGCACATATGGTCACACCACCCCACCAGCACCCCACCTTCATGGCTAGCTTGTCCTTGAGGCCCTCGAGCGCTCGACCACGCCGAATCCAAGCCTGCCGAGAAAGGCCTCACACCCTCAGATGGCTCATGATTTTGAGTGTGTGACAAGGAAAACGGACCCAGTCAAGGGTTCCTACAGCCAGGATCATGACCCACATCTCAATTGGAAAACACGAAGAACAAAAAGACCATCCTGCGTTTTTGTGGTGGTGTCACCTGAAGTGGTCCGGGTTCCCACTTTCTTGGCACATAAATCAACCAGGACCAGGGCGTGTGCTTGATCCGGGCAAACATCACCTTTCATGTGCTTCAGCCCCCCAGAAATAGAATAACATATTTCCAGTAGTGATAGATTAGATTCCCCTTTAAACCAAAAAATAAAACAATCTAAAATATGTTTTAAGAGAAATAACCAATATCTCTTGGTTATGGGAAAACCAATGGGAGAAGATCAAACATATTTCTTAAAGGGAATATTGTATTTATCCTGTGGATTTCAAAGGGAGCAATTAACACC